ACATAGGAAAAGCTGGTCTCTTTTCCTCTCTGAACATTGTCCTGCACGGCTCTGGCAACCACACCTGCACTAGCCACCTTGCAACCCAGGGAGAAAGAGGATCAGGACACAGGTGAGGAGAGCAGAAGTGAAAGACAAAGGAACCCTGATTTCTTGATACTAGCATTGTGCTTCTGAGGAACCAATGAGGGAGGAGCGCGCTTATCTCTGGATTATTTTTGTCATGGGAAATAATACATTTCATTATTGGGTAAACCACTTAGAATTAGGTTTCTTATGTTACTTGAGACTAAAATAACCTTAATATAGTTGGTTTACTGAGTTGGCCAAAACATTTGGAGATTTTTTTTTAAGTATGGCTCTTACACATCATACTACATCATAACAAAGAGGTAGTAAGCCCCAGTACCTGTTTGGGTTACTTCATTTTCACTTCCCTGGTCCTGCTTCCTTGTTATGAACAGTATTCCTGACCTTAATCCTCAACTAGGGGACCCATTGATTTAATGTTAAGGTCTGCACTGAACCACTGAATCTATATAGCTCCTTAATTTCATGCCAGAATCACACACCTCCTCTTTCCCACTTCCCTTAGATTTATAGAACACTCACTTGCTAAGTCAACTCCCTGACATCTCCTCCATACCCATCTATTCCATTTATTAAGTTCCTGAACACAGCCAGCCCTGGGTTAGGCTCTTCATGAATTAAAGGGACAAGGTATCTAACCTGCAAGTAACTTCAAGCTCTGAAGACACATTCTTCAAACAACTACATAGATATTACTATAGAGTGCATCATTTATTGATTTAGTTTATTCAGCATTTAGTCAGCATTTTAATCTAGTCCAAGCATTCTGCTAGGCTTTGAGGATACAAAAAAATGAATGATATTATACGTCAACAAACATAAAACGAGTGTCTATTTTGTGCCAGCCAAGTACTAGGGATAAAATCGTGATGGGAAAAAATATGTGGGACTTGCCCACAGGACCACCTATGGAAAAGACATTTATCATATATGCAGTCAAACATTAGGTGAAAGGGAAGAATAAGGCAAGAGAGAACATTCTAGGCAAGGGGAACTGCACGTGCAAAAGCACTGAGGCAGAAGGGGAATGGGGCAGTTCAGAAACCGAAAGGCCAGTGTGACAGGAGCACCATGAGCATGGGGGAACTGTGGCTGGAGAGGGAGGAGGCAAGGGCTAGGTCACAAAGTGCTCTTTACACCATATGAAGGACTTTGAACCCTTTCCTAAACATCCAGATGTGACATTGGAAAATTTTAAGCAGGAGAATAAACTGACCAGGCTTTTGCTGGAAGGGCCAAGCCTGGAGTCAGGAAGACGAATAAAAAAAATAAACATAAAATGAGGAATGACTTAATGTTTGTGGCAATGGGGAGGGAGAAGAGAAGATAGGCAAGGGATGTCAAGTTGGTATGATCAGGAGAAGATAACAGCCAACAAGCTACTGGAGGAGGTGAGGAAGAAGGGCGGGGAGATGGAGATGATCCGCAGGTTTCAGGGGAAGATGGTTTGAGGAGGAGTGGAATTAGAGTGCATTTAGTTAGTGACATTTTGTGTCCAAGGTGGAGCATCCAAGTTAGACATTAAGATATTCAAGTCTGAAGCTCAAGAGGAAATCTGCACAGGAGAAATAAATTTGGGTTCCATAGTAAGTAGGTGGTATGAAGACATGGGAATGGATATTACCCAGAGAAAGGATATAGAGTGAAAAGAGAGGGATCCCTGAGGACAGTCTGTGTCTATGGGGCCTTGGGCAAGGGGACCAGTGAACATCTCTGTGCATATGGTTAAATACTTGAAAATGAACATTGAACTAACAGGCTAAATACAATGTTGAATCCTCTTACCTTTAAAATTATAACTTTGTGGTAATACAGTTTTAAATGTGCAAAGTGGTGGTTTTAAATGAAATTTGGCAAGAAAATTAATAAGATGACTTAGTTCAATTATAACATTGAATGTCTGCATGTTCTGTTGGTTAGTCAGTAATGTGCAAAGAAAGGATAAGAGAGTCATTATGCACTTCATGAGTTATTATAAATTTATCCCATGAAATTTATTTTCTTGTCTTTATTTCAATAAATCACCAATTATGTTGTTATAATCAAGATTCTCACACAATTCACATCCTTTTCACAGCAGTGCCAAACTAGAAAACTGAGGCAGTAGCAATTGGAAATGTCAAAAAAATGTCAAAGTAATACTTCAATTTAGAAATGAATTATTAGTTTTACACATCATGTTCAAACCTTATTGTTTACAGAACATATAGAAAATATTACAAAATAGTTTAATTTCATTGTCTCTTAAAGTGGTATCTAGATCTATACAGCAATATAAAAACTCAGTACAATACTTCACACTTATTACATTTAAACCTGCATGTATATAAATTAAAGAACAATACAAGTAGTTTAATATTACCAAATGCTTCCCTGCTTCTATGTTACACTACTGTAAATTCCACATTAATTCATAAATACCTCTAGAACTCTCAATCAGAGAAGCAAGAAAATGAACAGTTAGCACTTTGGAGAAATGATACTTCATTATATAAGTATATATTGCATTCATGTTATCTGAGAGGAAAGATTTGAGACATTAATTAATTTGTCTTTTATCTAAGCACTTTCACCACTCAGGTCCTCCCTGTGCTCCAGAGGTTACCCATCTGTGGCTCCCACAGCAGCGTAACCCACACATTGTTATGGGACTTGGACTTAGAGATCTTTTGTTTAGAAGCCATGGGAAAGTGATGTAGAGGATTTCCCTGGGGCTTGAACAGTGTTCCTCCTGACAGGAATTGTTTAAGGTTATAAGACGTGGTATGCCTGCATTGAGCAGTGGATCCTCAATGGTAGAGGTCTTCTTGTGCTCTTTCATAAATTTATTGGGAAGGTGTGGTATGTTTGGCCTTCTAACGGGCATGGTTCAGGGAAGGGTTCCTACTGCTGAGTCTAAAGGGTAGTACTATCTGAGAAGCATCAACAAAAGCGATTGGAAGGAGAGGATCCCATGAAGGAGTTTGAGGTGGCACGACCAGAGAAATAAGAGGAAAATCAAATGTAGCATTGCAGTAATCAAGACAGGAAGTATTTCCAAGGAATTATTAACAGAATCAAGTATAGGACACTAGCCAAACAAAAATGTGGCATAGCTGTACATTAAAAGATTATTCAGCAAACAAAAATAATCAAGCATCAATGTATGTTATGACACCGATGAATCTCAAAGACATTATGTTAACTAAAAAAAATCAATCACAGAAGACCACATATATTGTATGAAGAAATATATGTGTATTGTCTAGTACAGACAAATCCACAGAGACAGAAAGTTTAGTGGTTGAAAGGTGCTTGCAGAATTGGAGGAAATGGGAGTGACAGCTAATGGGTACAGGGTTCCTTTTTGAGGTGTTGAAAATGTCCTAAATTTAGCTTGTGGCAACAGCTGCACAACTCTGTAAATACACAAAAAGCCAGTGAATTGCGTACTTGCAACAGTTGAATGTTGCGGCATATGAATTATATCTCAATAGAGCCATTTTTAAGAAAGAAAAAAGAATGAGGAGATATCCACCACATTTAAGATCACACCATCCTTTGTCCAATCCACCAAACACTGTCCACCTACCTGTGGAAAATCAAATCTGAGCCTTAAACAACCTTAAGACTAAACAATCTATCATGTGATTTGTCCTTTGCCCCAACAAAAAAATAAATAAATCTATTCTTTGAGAAACAAAAGACAAGATAGAGGGACCCACTCATAATAAAGGTCTTTCACACTAAGCTAAACTTGAAAACAGAGAACATTTATGCAAAAATCCATTTACTGTGTCAGTAATTTTCAACATTTCCCCTGCTGTTATTGTAGATAATTGAGTAAAAGCTTTTTCTTCCCTACATCAAGCATCAGTTTCCAACTGATCCTCTTAGAAATTCAGTTTTGAGATTTCACTTCAAGATCATGACTGCAGAATTTATGGGAAATGCATATGTGTTTGGGTAAATGGAACTATTTCCTATTCTTGAGGCAAACACTTAGAAAAACTAGAAGAAAACAGAAGGGGGGAGTAAAATCTCCTACCAAATTTATCAATACAGAGTCACAACTATTTTTTTATAAACTTTCAGTTGACTGTAAGTCTAGGTTGTGAATCCACAATTCATATCTTTCCTACCTAACCAATTATTCAGTATTTATGTGAATTCTAGGTACTAAAGGCTAATATATTCCTGCTGTTCATGTTTTTAATGCACACATTAGTTCTAAAGTTCATAAACCAATGTCTATATTCTAGCAAACATGCAGCATTGAATTTATACCTTCTAAGAATTTATTTCTTAAAATTACAAGTTGGGAGTATGAAACCTACAGGCAATAATATCTAATGGGAAGATTAATAACTCACAGGGCATCTTATCAATCTCACAGTAACAATTCCAGGTAACAGGACAATGAACATTTACATTTTTACAGTTTACATGGTATAGTCATATACAATAATGCGTGTGCTTTTTTATAAAATGGGAGAGCAGGTTTTTTACTATATCTCCATTCGTTAGGTAGGTAAGCAAAAGTTGGTCAAACCCTTTAGTGACTATGGTAGAACACCTTGCTAAATGTTTCCAAAGTACCCTATCTTGAACACCCACTGCGGTCTAAGTGCTTGACACCTGTCTTCCCCTCAAAGTTTCACGGAAGCAGAGCCGTAGCACAGCATCTGGCACACAGTATGTGCTCAAACACTATTAGTAGAATTAAATTGATCAAGTCTCCACAGCTAGTAAGGCAGAGATGAGATGTCAGACTCTACATCACGTATTCTTTTAAATTCTGAATGATGTTTTATTCACCCATTGTCACTGTCAGCTCATTTAAAAAAGACAGAAAGAAGATACTAAGTAAGACACCTAGACCAGCATTTTGGCATATAGGTCTCTGGCCCTATAGCTCAGTGGTTACATACCTCAGTGGTGAAGAGTCAGAGGGCTGTGGAGTCAGGTCTTTACTTCAGACATTACTCTGTTCTCTTTAGCTATGTGTCCTCCAGTAACCTTCCCAGGACTCAGTTTTCTCATTTGCAAAATGGAGATAAAAATAAAAATCTCTCAGGATTATTGTAATGATTAAATGGAATCAAATCTATAAGCCATGCAGCACAATGCCTGGCACTTAGAGAGAATTCAAAGTCCATTGTTGTCATTACCATTATCATTATTATTACTATTCTTACGTTTCCCTACAAGAAGAGCAAAAGCCCTTGGGTTAAACGCACAATTGTCCACAGCAGACAAGGCCGTTTGTTGATAACTGACACTTCATTTGCAGATGAAAAAGCTTTTAGTCAATTTCTACAGTAACAGTTGAGTAAATGTTATTTCTGTCATGTCTTTCATAGCACACTGAAGCCACCAGAGGCAAGAATAGCATCTCCAACTTCCTGGAGAGAAGTTCATTGACTTGCCAGTTAAAGAATCTGGGGAGAACTAGAATATTCTTCTCTAATTCCCTTTACCAGCCTTGGGCCATTTAATTTCCTCTTCCACCTCCATTGCTGTGTGCGATATTTTTTCTAGGCAACCACAACCTGACTTGATCATTTTGAGAAAGGGAATTCTTAAATTCCTTTGCAACTCAGAAAAGTGTATTCTATCATTTGCATATACATTTTTCTCTTTCATGCTAAATGTTTTGATTCCTGATTTCAACTGCTTTTTATGAACACAAAGATTCCCAAGAGTTGTGTCCTGAAGGACCGTGTTGCCTTCCTCTCCAACCCTCCTCATCAGAGCCTTCCCTTTCTTTTCTCCCCTGTCTCTGCTCCTCCCTGCACTCTCCTCAGCCTCTGAGACAGCCAGCAATTCAGAATCTAGTCAAATCATATTGTACAGACATTGACACCTCGTGCTTGTCTTTGTGGATATTAGAGAGATAGGGCATTAGGAGCCAGATACTTGATGTGAATTTTGATTTAATCATAGGCAAGGTGACTGAGTTTTTGGCAAGCTATTTCATGTCTCTATATCTTGGTTTACACATTTATAAAATGGGAATAATAATAACACCAACCTCATTCATTTGTAATAAGATCACATAAATAAAAAAATCTTTTGCAAAATATGACATTCTTCAAAAAAATATTCTGACTACCTGGAATGATAGTAGAGGGAAAGAAAGACAAAGAATTACTACGAATTAGGGTTTATGAGGTGACAGGTAATTTATAACTCAAAATGTAACTTTGTTAGTATGTAGATTAATGCATTATCTTGAGCTGTTCCTCTATTTCTCTTTGTCTGGGAATTTTTCCTCTCTTCCACTAGTGGAGATGTGATGGTCAGTGCTCTGTCTACATTCCTCTCTTACCTTTATATTCTTTCTCTTGTGAAGCTCAACAATCTACTGGAGACAGATGTCTCACAAATCTACCCTGCAGGATAGGAAGTCACGAGACCATTAAAATCCCTTCACCTTTACCATATAATGTAATCTAACCACAGGAGTGACATCCATCATAGTAACAGATAGATGACATTCAACATATTAACAGTTCCCGCCACACACAAGGGGAAGAGATTATACAGGGTATGGACACCAGGGGGCTGGATTCTTGAGGACCATCTTAGAATTCTGCCTACCACAACCATCTATCATCTGCTTGGCAGAAGGGATGCAAAGAGAATTTGACATGTTCTTCACCTTCAAAGAGTTATAAATTGGATGATACTCACCCCTAAATCATAGGGCTAGATGAATAGAATTATGGGGGAAAAATACATGTGCAGTGTTTACCACAGGGCCTGACACATGAGAATTAGTGTTCAGAAGAGTTAGTTATTCTTATCAGATAATTGGAACACAGTCTGTTAAGGGATGTATGGAGGTTCTACACAAGGCCTAGGCCGAGAAGAGGGATGCTCAGTTTGGGGGGAGATAAGAAAGGGCTTCAAAAAAATAGAAGCCGCTTGACCTCAATCTTCTCAAAAATATCGTCAAATTTGCTGTATTAACCCCTCTTTTAAAAATATTTGAAAACTGAGACTCGGTTAAGGAACTTATTATATAAGGCCATTCAGCTGGTCAGAGGGGAAGGCAGATTTCACACCCAGGTGGACTGATTGGAATGCCTGCGCTTCACCTCATGTGTGTGTATGGGTCCATTTTAACCATGTGTGAAATATTGGGGTACTAGTAGAAAATAAGCTTATGCAGATAGTGGGGGCTTCCATCCTGGAGACTCAAGGACAAGTTTTAAATGAGGCAAAACAAAAAGGCAGGTGGCCCTGACCCATTTGGTTAAGTTGGTTGGGCATCATCCTGCAATGCAAAGGTCACCATTTCAGTTCCTGGTCAGGACACATGCCTGGGTTGAGGGTTTGGTCCCCAGTCAGGGTGAGTAAGTCCCCACGTCCAAGAGGCAATTGATTGATGTTTCTCTCTCACAGCTATGTCTGTCCTCCACTCTTTCTCCCTCCCTTGCCTTCTCTCTATACATAAATAAATAAATAAACAAACAAGTAAATAAATAAATAGTTTTAAAAAAGAAAAGCAGATGTCTTTGATGAGAGAATTACCTAACAGCTAATTGGAATATTATTTTAGGAACATTGTCCTGGCCTCGATGGGCAAGATCAGGGAACGAGAAAGTGCATGAGGAGGGATGAGCCAAGGAAGCTGCAATGGTACCTCAGATGGGAAGCAACTGAAACTTGAAACTGGAGCAGTGGAGAGGAGTGTTGGGAGAAATGCTGGACATGAAAATGACCAATTAAATAGGAGTTGGAAGAAAGGCCTGGTGTAGGTGAACCCTTCCTTAGAACTCTCCAACCCTTTGCCCTACAGGCTCCCTTCCATTTTCTGTCTGCTGTTCATATGCTGTGCATCAGCCCACCCAGACTGTAAGCAGAGAACCCCAAACTTACCATGCCAATGTGGTTGTTCTTCCTGTTTTCTTCCTTGAGAATAGTCTTTTTTGTATCCCCCTCTGGCAAAATCCCAACCTTCCTTCAATGCTCATTCTAAGTGTCTCCGATTTTAAAGATCCATTTATAATCCTTTCCCCTTTCCAAAGTGTTTGCTTTTCCAAACACTTAAAACTCTGTACCATACTACTCGGCACTTTGATACATGCCTCAGAGGGATCTTAAATTGATTTCAACTCAATACAAGGAAGACCTTTCCAACAATTAGAGCTATCTGACTGCCTCTGAAGAGATGAGCTGCCTGTGAAGGCAGCAAACTGGTTCTCACTGAAGTTTGCAATCGCAGTAATTGTCAGGGGATTGAAGTGATCCCCAAACCTGCTGTAGAGACTTGAACATCTAATGGAATGTGAGACTGGGAAATCTTTGAGATCCTGTATCACTCAGAGATTCTGGATTACATGTAGCAATGTAGTGTTCATTCAGTAAACATCTTCCATGTACCTACTTTGGACTTCAATAGGAACCACAAGCTTGATCAAATGCCTACATGTGAGGTAGGTGACTTACATGAGGAAGTGGGCTGAGTATTGGGGACCCCTGGGGAGAGAGGTGCACTGGAGCAGACATAGTGTTTAAAGCTAGTGATTACTCCCCACCCCCCATTAGAGTCTACCCTTGTACACCATTTTGGAACCCAATGCTAAATACTGTACTAGATGTTTGGTATAACAAAGATAAACCTGATCTTGAGAAATCTCACACTCTTATGGAGGAGATAGACATTGTAGCAGGCAAATGCAGTAGAATGCACATTTAGAATATTTGAGTTTTTTCCTTGTAAAGAAATGAAGGCTCTGATGACAAAATGAAGAGAGAAGGAGTTAATGTAAAAGTAAGAAAGTAAGAAGAAAACAGAAGTAAATTGTCTTCCCAGTAGGAGTGAATAAAAACCTGGGTCTTTACCCTTGGAGAACAGGACAAAACAGCAGTTTTTAGTTAGGAAGAAATATGTTACATCCATTGGGAATAAGTTTAACTTGATGTAGCCACAAGACATCTAGCAAACAATGTCTAATTATCCAATTTCATATAGGGAGTTGGAAGGTTGAAAGAAAAATGAAAATGAGAGATAAGAATTTGGGGTCATTTACTGAGGCATAATATTTGATGTCTTATGTGAATGAGTTCAAGAGTAGAGAGGGGAATTATAGAGTAGAATGGAATTATATTTTAGGAGAGAAGCATTTAGGGACAGGTGCAGAGTAAGAAAGTCCAGCAAAGGAAACTAAAAAGAATATTGGGAAAGCAAAGAAAGACCCAAGTCCCCAAGGCCAAGGCAGGAACATTTGCTGAGAAGTCACTCTCCTTCCATTCCTCTTAAACTAGGTCATCCCCAAAGTACAGCTGGGCAGGGTGTGGGATGGGGGTGGAAAGGAAAACTGCAAACTGTAAAACCACAGGACAAGGATGATTTCCAACCTGGGCAGGAATTGTTACCCAGTAAAGAGTTGATAGTAAGTCTTGAAGAGAATATTGCTGGGTGGCCAACTGAGCCTCTCATTTTGGATTGTCACCAGGGAATATTCTTTCCATGGCTAACAGAGAGAAGGTTTCATTTTCTTTCAGAAGAAACAGACTTTTTGTGCTGACTCTGCAAGGGCAACGCAAGTCATAAGGAAGGGATTCATCAGTTTCAACTGCTATCTTCCCACATTCCCAACACAAATGTCAATCCACACCCAGAGACATTCAAATCAACTTCAGAGGGGATGAGCACATCCATGTTCTTAGGCTGCAGCTCTTCACCACAGCCAACTTTTTTTTTCTTAAGAAATCTAAATTTAGGTCTGCTGGGAAAAGAAGGAAAATGAAGCAGGCCAAATTAGAAGTTTAGTGGACTTGAGAGGTAAATTTTCAGCAACTCCCTTTCCCCCTATTAATCCTTCTTCTTTTTTGTCCCTTATCCATTATGTGGGATTAGTCCTTTGTAAATTTGGATTTGTACTGATGAATTAAATTCTTGGCAACCGCTGTTCCTGCTGACTGGGTGTTTCTTTGTGTTCTTTGTAAGATCTATAACTCATTGCACCTGTTGCCTCTGAATAGTCCTCCCCAGTCAAGTGTGTGTGTGTGTGTGTGTGTGTGTGT